TGATAAAAGTCTAATTGTTTATGTTAATTTTGCACCTACAGTACAGACTCTTCTGGGAAGCAATTGAAATGCAGTATCAACCCATTATACTTATTAATAAGCAGAAAAATACAAACAAGAAGACACAAGTAAAGGTGAAAGAGAACTGCAGAGACGAAAGAGGAAAACACTGCTTAGTGTAAAAGTCAAATGGGAGTCAATATGTTACCCACCCCCTGTTTGCTTAAGAATACACTCAGTAAGTCCTGGAGATGGCTGGACATCTCCAATAACAGTATTTATATTCTTTCTGTTCAGTGTGCTGTCCTTTGGATGAGACGTAAAATCAAGGTCCTGACTCTCTGTGATCATTAAATGTCACAGGGTGTTTCTTAAAAAGATCAGGGGAGTTAACCCCAGTACCCTGGACAAATGTCCCATTGGTCCTTACCACTCATGGCCTCCTAATAACCCCCATCTCTGAACTGGCTTCAGCACTCTGTCCCCTCCCCACTGAGAGCTGGTGTGTGGGGAGTGTACTGGTGGTGGAGGGGAGTCCCCATTACCTGTAAAGCACTTTGAGAAGAGTGTCAAGAAAGGCAATGTAAAGGTAAGGAATTATTATTAAAATACTTGAGGTCATGCATACTATCTCCACGTCTTTAGCTTAGCAAGGCTATAGTGTAGTGTTCTCCAACTTAAGAGAAGATTCATGTAAATCAATATCTTTGATACAAACTCTTCTTGCAAAGGCCTAAATAGAGCACTGTACAGCTAAATCCTGTCAGAGCTTGCTTTTATTGAATATAACGTAATCAAAACCAAGTTCAAAGCTAACTGCTATATGGCACTGGATCCTAGCATAGAATTTCACATTACAGCATGGTGTTTTTCTGGGTGTGTTTCCTGTTAAATCCCTTGGGGCTCTGTACTAAATTTATATATAATCAAGTGAGGGAACAGACAGTTTTAGTTAATAATCAATTTTGCGGTCAAGTTATTGTTTTTTGAAAGAGGTTCACCTGCTTTGCAGAGATTTTAATTAAATTAATTTGTAGACAGAGAAACTGCTGCATTGTGGGTAGCACTTGCCAGCTTTGTTTTGCTGTTCAGTGACTCTATACTGGAAACAAGAGTGATTCTCATTTTTTTGCAGAATGCCTGTACAGCTTTAAGGACATTTACAGAAATTCAGATTTATAAATGAAATAAACTGACAGAATGAATTAATGAGATTTTAGTTAAAATATAAAGATTTAGGTTAAAGACGTTTAAACTATTCTAAACCGTGTGAAACTCTAACTAGTGGAATTTTGTTAAATGGCAAAATGTACTCAACATTTATTGTAGATAATACTGTACATATGAACATGAATTTTACATCCGGTGAAAAGATCCAGCTACAAGATGGACATAAACACCTAAGTCTTCAGTAAATCTGGACTAGAGATCTATGTGACAAGGCCTTCAGTGGCACTGAGCATGTTGCAGAAAGTGACATTGGACAAATACGAACTGCACAGTAAAGAATTCTCCTGTGGCAGACAACCTGTTCTTTGGCTTTAGCAAACTTTGGCCATTATCTAGGGAGTGGAGCTGTGAACACTCTGGGCCCATGAACACCCATGATTGAATCTTGTAGTTTCAAGATCGGTTAAACCCATCTTGTACTTTTCAACACCTGTGCTTGCTTACCATGTGATACATGTCTGCATTGAATACCATATGCCATGTATTTGTCCAGTCTTGAATTTTGACCAAGTCTTTTCTAATGTTTTACAATGTTTGCTAATTCTTCTATTTCAGTATCATCTGGCAATATCACTAGTTAACTACCAGAACCTACTGTAGATCATTGATATAAATGAGGAAAAGCACTGTCCTAATACAGATCCCTGTGGTACTCCACCAACTAGCAAAGTTTGGACATTGACCCTGTATTTTCTCTATTTTCACATACATCCATTCACATTTTTTGACCTCCACCTGCAGTTTGAGCAGTCAAAATCTTTCAGAAAAATACATACTTTATCATGTGTTGTGTGTATTCAGTACTGCTGTTACTTGTTCACTTGTTCATATATGCTCTAGAATCTTATTTCCATAAAGATGATGACCACAGAGTTAAAATCAGAGGAGTTAATTGCTCCTAAATGTTTAACAGAATTTGAGGGGACCACTTCTGTACCACCAAGAGTCAATTAAAAATCCTCTCGGTCTTATTCATGTTTAATTGGAGATAATTTTGAACCACCCACAACAGTGCATCTTCAAGACATTTGATTAGTGTCGAATGAGGAATTTGAGGATTCAGTGATGTATGCAGGCAGTTCTGAATACTGTCACATTGTTATTCTGAGAACCTGGCCTAATGGCAGCACATAAATATAAATAAGGGCCAATAACTGAGCCCTGTGGGACTCCAGAGATGACAGGGGCAGGATCTGATTTAAAGTCAACAAGGCTAAAAAAAAATGCTGTCAGGAAGGCAAGACTTAAACCACTGCAGTACGCTGCCACTAAGATCTCGAAAAAGCTCCAGTCCATTACTCAGAATGCCGATCAATTAGAATCAGATTGTGGTTTACAGTATCAAAGGCTGCTGAAAGGTCTAATAGTATGAAAATCAAGCAAAAGCCAGGATCTGCAGAGATGAACAACTTTCACCAAGGCAGTTTCGGTTCACTGGACAGCCCGGAAGCCTGACTGAAAGGTCTCAAATAAGGAATTTAAAGACTTGGAGTTTAAAATACTAACCAATAAGATGCTGTACGTGACGTGATGATGAGGGCCTTGGCAATTTTCTCCCGCTAAGGGCTGGTGCTGTATGAAGGGACCAACATTCTTGCCATTGGCAAGTCACAGCTGCCACCGTATTGGACATCTGCCTGCTGCATGAGGCGAGCACTTGCTCACGAGCCGCTGCGGCAGTGACAGGGTGCGTATCCCCCCCAGGCAGCAGAGTCCTGGCCCCACAACATCCAGCAGGCAACTGGTCCGGTCAACAGGGCTGTCGGTTTGCTAGAGATTTCCAGTGCACTTGTGTGACCTCACTTGGAACACCGAGTATAGAGGGAATAGCTTCACTGGAGTAAACTCAAAGAAGAGCAGACAGATTAATGTCTGGTCTTATAGGAAGGTCCCACACACACACACACACACACACACACACACACACACACACACGTTCTATAGAAACCAAGCATCTTATGCCTTGAGTAGAGAAAAATGTCTTGAGAAGTAATATCGCTAACCCAGAGGACCGTTTCAGGACGAAATGTGAAGCAGGCACCCAAGGACATAAACAGAAATTAAGAGATTGTGCACTGAGGACTGGTTGCAGGAGGGGTTCTTTACACACATATGTTGCTCTTTATGCAACAAGCTACTCCAGCACACTGAAGCAGGTTCCCTTCACTGAACAGATGGATGAGAGCCTGGAATCATTAAACTGCAAGCAACCAATCAAGCAAGAGTCGGACAAGAGTTCTGTAAGGTCTCTTGTGGTGTTCCCGGGGTTTAACTTCACTCGGGCAAAAAAATATGGCTTAGTTAAAAAAGGTACAAAAGTAAATTTGTGATGGTAACTTTTATTGATACTCTTTCCAAAGATAAATCAACAAATTAGAGAACACAGATATAGAAAAGGAAATAATTACAACAGAGCTTTTGCACTTGAAGTGCATGTGACAGGTTACAGATGCTTAAAATATTTAACCTTTCTAATTTTAAAAATAGAAATGTACAGTAGTCAACCTATAAAAACATGCATGCAATCAGTTTTGTATTATTTGTCATACAAGAATATTCATCACTATTTGTATTACCTTTTGACTTTAAAAATTGAAATTTACTGTAAATGTAGCAAAACTATAAAAATAATCCTTGCCATCCAGTTTGTCAAGAGAATTCTATGACGTACAAGAACATTCAATGCTGCTTATGAGAAAAATCTTAACCACTGCTTACAGATAATTGTGCATTCAACTTTGTCCATTAATAGTATGAATCACGAGTATGTACAAACCCTGATCCCACGTGCAATTGAATATATAAAAATATATAATCAAATAATTATTGAGCCAGTTTAATAGAACAAAAGATGAAACCACAGAGGTAATTCTACAAAACGACAACAGTATTTCTACATTCTAAACTGATCTCCGAGATCTCAGCTGCTAAGCAAGACATTTCTGTAAGTGGAGTTTGAGAATCAGTGGGGGCATTCTTGCCTCTGGAACAGAATTTATCAAAAGAAATTCCTAGTTGAGAGAGAGAGGGGACTCTGGATGGAACATTAAATTATTAATTTATTTTTTAAGTAGCCAAGTTCCTGATTACTTGTTCACTGAAATCACCATATCAATGTTTAAAAATGTAGGTGTTTTATCCTGGGTATCATGGCTGAATCTCACTTTGATTTTTGCACGATCTTTAATAAAAAAAAACAGTTAGCGGTAAAGCCTTTAGTTACGGGGCTCCTAGCTTATGGAACAGTCTTCCACCCCATATTCGAGTCAATCTCAGTATTCAAGTCCAGACTGAAGACCTATTACTTCAGCCTAGCCTACTCACACCTTACATCATAGCCTGCTGCAACCATGGCTGCTGGTGCTGCTGTACATGCCATTGTGTGTCTCTGTGTTGGCCCACCAGGTAAGATACATCTTTTCTGACCAGACTATCCTATTCTCCTCCCCACATGTTCAGATGCCGCCCGGGCTGGGCACCATCTGAGTTGGATGCTGCATCACTGCCATGGATCCAAGAGGGACATCGTGGATGTAGCTATCGTTTAGGAGGATTTTGCTGGTCTACAGAGATCTGTACGGAGTACTGACATACAGAAGACATGATGGATGGATTAATACCATTATTTATTTATTCCTTTTTTTAAATTGTATAATGTTAGCATGCCCAAAGGGGTTGGGCACCCAGTTGACCTTGGACCCCTAGAGGTTTTTTTTCTCCTCTCCTCCGTTGTCTTCTGGTCTTTCCTGTTCTGTATTCACAACATGTATGATCACTTGCATTGTTAAGCGCCCTGGGGCAACCTTGTTGTGAAAGGCGCTATATAAAAATAAATTGAATTGAATAGAATAGGCTAACTACATATCATCTTTATCTCAAAGGGTGATGTAATTTCTCACTTTACTACTTGATAGGCATAGTGGGGATCCTGAAAGGGGGATGTGATTTCAGGTAGAGACTTTCTCTGCCAACCAAAACAAGCCTAACTAGTGGAGCAGCTGCTTCTATATCTTCTGTCCTCTGAATGACCCAATGAACCCACTGATCACTACAGGTGCGAACTAAAAGTGTGAACTGAGGTGTGAGCCAGGATCCGAGAAAAATATCACTGGGGGCTTGTGAAATGCAGTCTTCCTAATGTTTCCCCTTCATTCACCCACTAAAACAGCTTCTCACTTCTTTACCTGCTGTGTCGAAAGGTGGGGCTGCTGGCGCAATGCTCCTGCAATACCACTCAGCTGGGTGCACTGCAACTGAGGTGGATGTTGTACGTCCTTTCCCATATGTAAAATGCTCCAAGGTTTTTTGGGATGGAGAGTGCTACATAAATGCAAGAAGTAATTAATCAGCATCACAAAGGGTTACCACAAGTCACCCAGGCGGATGCTGCTCTTCATTGGTGAATAAAGTAGGTCCCCTCCTATATATGATGTGAAAACAAAAATCCTTACTTCAGCTCTTCAGCTTTATCGCCTGACATGATGGTATTCACGTGTCACGATATAAAAATCATAATTCCAAATGATTTGATTATAAACACAAGCCTCCGCCAAATACAGTACAAATACACCAGGAGCAATTATAAGGAACATTCAAAAGATCTCAAAGCAAAGCCACCTGCTATCAGAAAACCTCTTTTGCTAGTTAGGGCTGCAGCTTGTCCGAGTCTGTCCTGGAAGCCCAGACCACAAGCAGGGACTGAGAACACCAGGACTGCTCTTTCCTGGCAAGACACTAGTCAATGACTGGCCAGAAAGCAAATCATAACTGACAAAAACACACTACCCAACGTATACTGCACACATGCATTACTTTATCAACTTGATAATACTCTTATTTTCTATCCTTTTAAGTCCTTTAAACCAACAGTTTATACAAGTACCTGCAATTTACATTTACAGCATGTTTAAAATATGTGCTCTAAAACACAACAGCCCTTTTAACTTTCAACCACAGGCACTGAACATTAACGCAGCTATGCAGCAAGCAGCAATGTCGCTTCTAAGAAAAATTAGGTTTGCTTTTGCACCAACAGAGGAAAAAGAACCTTACAGTTTGTAAAGGCGAAATGGAAAACCTGAATTATCTTCAAGGTGGATAACTGTTTTACCCAGAACTAGTTCCTTGCACGCTTTCACAGGAGACAATCTTCTCCTTCACATAGACTTTTTGAGAGCCAGTTACATCACCCAGTTGAACAGATCGTCCATTCAGCCCCATCATTCCATCTTGTGATCCTGCACTAGACAATACTGTTTTCTCTTTGATCATCATGCTTTGTGCTCCAGACAGGCCACCTCTGTGTGTGGTACCTTGACTGAATCCTACCATCCCGTCTTGCATAAGCTGCCCTGATTCTGCCTTCCTCTCCACAAACACCACATTCTGTGACCCTGGCAGTCCAACCCTGTGTACAGCCCCTTGATTAAGCCCAGCAACCCCCTCCTGCACAAACTGCCCTGATCCTGCCTTCCTCTCCACTAACACCACATTCTGTGACCCTGGCAGTCCAACCCTGTGCACGGCTCCTTGATTAGACCCAGCAATGCCCTCCTGCACAAACTGCCCCGATCCAGCCCTAGTCTCCACTAACACCACATTCTGAGAGCCAGGGATTTCACTCCTGTTCAAGGTGCCATGGAGGACACCCAGTGCTCCGCCCTGCACAGCAGATCCAGACACCACTCTCTTCTCCTGAAACAGGACCTTCTCAGAGCCTGAGCCTTCATTCAGCAGCAGCACACCCTGCACATTAGGAGCAGCTGGCCTTTCTGAGAAGAGCATGGTGTTGTGGACCTGCGGCTCCACAATGTACCGAGTGGGTTGAACCACTGGGGTGGTAGTGTAATAGACAGGCTGTTGGATGACATATGCGGGACTGGGAACTACGACATTTTCTCGGAGGTGCATGGCTGGGAGAGTGGTGGAAGAATACTGCTCAGTGACGACGTTTTTCTGGATCTGGGGCTGAGGAACTGGGCTGGGCTGAGGTCTCACAGCATCAGTTGTCACAGTGTTTTCTCTCTTGATCTCTGTGCGAGTTACAGCCACATCCTGGACCGTAGGCATGGGTGGAGTGACCAAAACTTCTGATTTCATTTTGTCACCCGTGCAGATCTCAGCAAGGGTCTTAAACTTGGGTCCCAGGTCGTTCAGGAACTCCAAATCATCGTCTCCTTCAATGAAACTGCAGCATCCCACTGAACCCACAGGGGATTCTCGTCCTTCAAAGTCATAAATCAGTAAGCCATCTTTCTGAATCTGGTCTTCCTCGGCCATGTACATTACCTTCTACGGTACAAAAAGGAGAGATATGATCAATGGTTGGATATCATCAATGGTTTTCAATATATGCAGTACATACTGTACATGTTCCACTACACACATCATGCATGCACACAAGTGGCATTTAAAATATTTTACAGCTCACATACCCCTGATTGCTGGCTGGTTCATATTCATTATAGAAAACCTCGTATATGGTAAGAAAATCCGCCTGATTTCATGTCCATCACCATATCTGGATGACCAATGCCAGCCTGGTCATTCCACTGTGTATCTTGAGGTAGTCCTGGTCATCCCATTTTTATGCACAGAAGGAAACTCTCTAACGAGCCATCACTTTATTGGGTTCTTTACAACTTCATTGATATGCTCCGTGTTTGTTCTTTGATAGATTTAGGTAGAACGAGTGCTCCTCGGTAGACTATCTGTCAGTGGACATACTGTATGGAGCACCAAAGCCTTAGAAATGGTTTTATAATTCTCTCCAAACTGATGACCATCAGTAAGTTTTTCTGAGGTCTTCGGAGGTTGTGCTACGCAGCACACAGCAAATATATAAATAATACTCCCTGTATTTGCTGGCAGGACTGATCTACAGTGCTATAGAGAAGAAGATGGAGATTTGGAACATCAGGGTCCCAATGTTAGTGATGCGCAACAGAGACTCCAAGTTCCCCTTGAATCTCAAGTCTTCCCACTGTTGTAAATGTAAAAGCCCCCCCACAAACACACACACTTACAAAAACAGCATTGTTGCCCCACAGATATTAAGGACAGTATGTCAATTACCTTCATGTAGTATTCCTCCAGATAACCTTCCGGAAGTGCCATGCTGTCGTAGGCACTCTCGCGAGACTCAAACCCCGAGGCGAAGGCATGTGAACTTCCCCTGTACATCATGTCTCCTTCGTACCGGCTACCGCCTCTAGCGTAGAAGCCGTACCGAGACTCCTGGGCATTGTTAACCGCCATTATGTACTCCTTTGTAGAAATGGCTGCTCCTGCCCCAGCCATTGCCATTCCTCCTGCTCCTGCCCCTGTCATTGCCATTGCCCCTGCCCCTGCCCCTGTCATTGCCCCCGCCCCTGCCGTCATCAGTCCACTGCCGACTTGATATCCTCCAGTCTTAATCTGTACAGGGGCAGTAAGAAGGGGAACTGCCTAAGTGGGCCAAACAGAGAGAAAAATGAAAATAAGAATTGGACTGTGGTGTTACTGCGCATTTCAGAATTAATCAAGGCTACATCTGTTACATTGATTCTAGATCAATTATTCTTCGGTCAACCCACAATCGAGAGATGGCACTGATCTCCAGCAGGAGAAGAGAGAAAGACCAGGCATCCGATCCTGTGAAACACACTTTCAGAGCCACCTGCCTGATCACAGTACTGACACATGGGGCCTTCGGGCGTGTCAGTACTGATCAGAAGAGGTGCAGCTCTTGCTGACAAACACTCCTCTCAGACATCAAGGACTCTCTGAAAAAGTCCTGATTGAAGTAAACTGACCTATAGCTGGCAAAACATGGCAAACTGCGTGTCCTGCATCTGGTTAAAAATTGAATTATATTTGCATATGATTATATTAATTGCAAAGCCAATTCACTGACATGCATGTATAATGGGTTTGTTTTACAGGTATTATTTATGTAATTTGTATGCCTGCCTCTGGAGCATTTTACCCCATTCACAGAAGACTAGATGACCTCCAGCATCTGTCCCACCTCATCCTAACTGGTTTAACTGCTTGATCACTGGACGTGCCGCTCTCTAGTCCTGCAAGTGTTTAATGATATTGTACTTGACACGAATCTCAATGAATCTTTTAACTGTCAACTCTGGTGGAAAATATAAAAGTTTACATCTGCTAATTGATAACGGGAACAAAAACAGCAATGTTCAGGAGAAATCGAGGTAAATTACTCAATTTCTCAACAATTGAGAAATCGTTCATTGAGGTTAATTACTTAATTTGGTGAAGGAGAAAAAACAGTGCAGTACAAAAAAAAATTAACTGTAATGACTTTTATATTTTACGATTTAAATTTTCCCATATGATTAAATTGGTATCTTTTTAAAAACAAAATTTTGATATCCAATCAAAAATCTAACAGGCAAAACTATACTAAAAGCATGAAGTTCAAATGAGTTAATAGAGTGACCATGAAATGTCACCTATAATTCCAGTAATTTGGAAAAGAACAGCATAGTGCAAATATGCCTAAAACAATAAATACGGGTTCAGTTAAAACTGGGCTTTATTGCCATTGTGTTATTTTACTAAATTAGCATCAATACATTATTAATAGATAACAGCTTACCTTGTCTTCGCCTTGTCCCTCTGTGTGATAAGCAATCAAATGCTCTTTGGTGTCAAAAGGCATGTCAAGAAAAGCCCCTCCTTTTCCTCCGACCCCAAGCCCGCCACAAGAGCAGAACAGCAGCAGGAGAGGCACCACTGTTGAGAAGCCATATTATTAAAAATTACTACTAAAAATGTAGGCAAAATTCTAAAGAATCTTAACTGTTTAGACAGGCAACTTAACAGTGTATTTTAAAATGTTACGAACGTATTACAACATGAAAGATATTCTATAAAGCTTTCAGTCAAACAGCCCTAGATTTGAGCTCATCTTCCAGAGAGCAGATGCATATGTTCAGCAATATGTAAATTTAGACTTAATTTAATGTTAAAATAATATATAATTAGATTTCACTTTATTCTACATTCTTGCTTTACACAAAACATTGTTTACTCCAACACAACTTAGTTCACTACACAAGAACTGAAGTGAAAGACCAGAGAAATCAAGTAATATGAACACACCAAAGTTACCATGGAATGCCCCCTCCATCCAAACCTTACAATCCTTTTAGAGTTTGTTCTAATGGCCTGAAAGCAGCTTTGAGACACAGACCAAAACATCTGGACCATTTTATGTTTTAGGTTTTAAATACTTCTACAGTATATGGGAAAAAAAAGCTAACAGCTTTCATACATATATGTGGTGTGGGACAGTTGCATCTGACTGATTAATCTGCAGTGCTAACTGATTTGCATAGCTCTTCCAAAAAACTGCTTGTCCAGGTCTCCCAAATTAAATCCAGGTTCAACCCTGGATGGGTGGGGGGTTACACTCTTTTAAATCTACATGCACTGTGCAGTGCTGATACTTGAGGAAGTGTAGAAGTGTAGGCAAACTTCTGTCTGCTGGGAATAGTGTACAAGAGCACTGAGGTGCACTTACACAGCATCATCAAGAATCCGAGGATTAGCAGTCCAAAGCCTGCTGCTCCAAGTTCAGCCCCTGTTGTTTTCCTTGCACTGACACAGGCAGTCTGTTCCTTGTCACAGGTGCAGACATCTACCTTTACAACCTGCTTATCAGGACAGGATAGTCCTTGTTGGTCTTTCACCTCCACAGCAACTTCATATGAGCCAGGCCACAGGTTGTCCTGGGCTCGCAGGATTGCAGTGGTGTCTTAAAAGAGGAAAAATAAAATTCTGTTAATTTTACACACACACACCTGTCCTGATCAGAAAATAATCTGATGATGATTATTTGCCCTAGAACAGAAGGGCAGATACATTCCCTCTATTCGCTCAGTGAAGACTTAATTAGGGGTTAAGCAGTGAAGTGCTGTAACCCTTTTGTTCATGTCTGAACAATTAGGGATCCAAACATCAGCTTGGTTGGGACAAAGGGAATGCTTGAGTGAAAGCTACAGTTTTACATTTTTAGTACAGAACATCTTTACTTTTGACATCTTGTTTTTGTTATTATAAATGCAGCACTGCTATACTTTAATTAAGTTGATGACAGCATGGTAATAACTGACAAGAAAATAAATTAAGCATATTTACTACCTTCCCAGCCAATGAATTCACTCTGCTGTTCATGCAATTTTCCTGAATCTCTTTCTTTCAAAAATCATTACGTTATGCCTTTACCAGAGAACAATGCAGGCTGAGAGAAGCAGTGCATCCACACTTACTCTCCTACTGCACATGTAGAAATAGTGGTCACTAATAATTTTGCGCCAACAGGTGAAATCTCAAGTATGGAACTTGCGGAGATCAAGGTTTTACTGTAAAAGCAGAACTACTATTCATACTTTGAATCTCACTTTATTTAATTCCCAACAAATCTTAACTACTTATTCTAAATTCAATATAAGTCACAAGAGACAGTGAAATTCAGTACACTTTAATTATATTTATTACATGTAACAAACTGGTAAATAACTGATGGAGGACACCAGGGCATCTGTGTCTGAAGATGATGAAGAAATACAACTGCTTTTTAGATTACACCCTTTTCTCTTTGGATATGCTTTTGAAGCAAAACAGGACTCCTTGCAAAACCAATCCTCACCATTGAGTTTTTCAGCTCTCCATGTGCCCTTGGTACCTTCAGGAATGATTTCAAACTCAAAGGGAGGCCCATTGGGATCAGCATCTCCATCCTCAGCTGTGACAAACACAGCTCTGCTCTCAGTACACAGAACCTGGGAGGTACTGGTCAGAACTGGACAGTGGTCATTGGAGTCTTCCACCTGGAGAGCAATCGTACCAGTGGCGGTTTTGGAAGGCATATCTAGAAAACAAAATGATGGTTTAACTATTTTTTAAAGGAATAATGCACTAAAATTCATAATTTGTAGTGGTTTGTAAATCCTGCAACTCCCCGTGCTTAAAGTAATGTAACTCCCCATCATTAGAAACGTCAGAAGAAATGCCATAAAATTGTTATCCTTTTATCAGATCGTTTTAGAAACAACGTCATTGGATTTTTAGATCTTTCAGCAACCAAACAAGGAAAATGTGTTTAGACTCTACATGTTTGTAAACTTATCATTTTCAATGGTTTCTTATGCAAACGTCAAAAAGTTCAATTTTGGAATTTTTGAGTAAAAGTAATCTCCTTTTTAATTATGATGAATTTACTACAACAATGGTACTACTGTGAATGAAAAACGTCCCTTCTTCACCTTGAATTTGCCATTTAAGAGTCAGGCCAGAAGAAAAACAAATGGTGCACACCACACAATCAGCTCCAGAAACTGATTTACTTATTTTATAAGGTATATTTCAAAATGAGTACATTACTGTTTTAAGTCAACCATTAATTTTTAGTTACCTTCAGTCATAACCAAGATTTTTGCATAGTATGTGCCATTAGTCAAGTATTTAGACTCCCGGTCCGGCAGCTTGTTCAGTTTGATCTCTGCCGTCTTTTCATCAATTGTCAGCCAGTTGTCGGGATCAAGTCCTTTAGCATATCTGTAACAACAACATCTTGATTAGTCACATTTTCTATACAGTGTGAACCATAGTGCTTCCCTAATGTCACGATCGCTAACCCCTCCTCTTAAGGGCGCTCCAGCCCTCCCTTGTTTTCTCCCATTGTCTGCACCTGTTCCCTATTCCCACTCCCCCTTAAAAGCCAGACGCAGACCTCACTTCGCGTTGCTCATTGAACTCTGCTTTGTGAGAGCCCGGGGTCCTGCTGCGTCTGGCTCCGTTTTAACTTTCTGTTCCTGATCCCCTGCCCCGCCGGTCCCGACCCGACCCGGCTCGTGCTTTTAACCCTTGGATGGATCTCCTGGCCTTGGACTCTACTCTTCCGTTTGGATTCCCCGTATGGACTTTGGCTTTGTTTGTTCGCCCGGACTCACTTCCCCAGGACACCAGCTCACCTCGGACACGCCCCCCTGTATCCAGACCCTTTCCTGCATGACTTTCTCCCTAGTGTGTCTTCACAATTCCGGATCGCATCGTCTGCATAGGGCCCGGAAAGAACTGCTTCGTGACACCTAACTTGCAAATATTCTATGTTATATGTTTGGCTCAAACTGAAAGAATGGAAAATCTATAAATAAAAGTTATTCTATAAATGAACTAAATGGCCAATTTAAAAAAATCAACTGGTGCTGTGCTGTACTTCTACAGAATTATCAAAGGTCATTGTAAACCAAGTAAGTTTTAGTGCTGTAAATGTTTTAATATATATTAACTACGATAGTTTCAAATGATAGATTTATGCCACTCTGATGGCTTTGTTCCAAAGGTTTCAAAAGTCAACATTCTTGTTAATGAGTCTTTCTGGTGATGTTATTACTATGGCACCTACTGTAAAAACCTGCCAAAAATTCTATTGTGAATAAGAGACATAGACAGTGCTTGAAGTTGCTGTGGAATTGGTCGGAAACAAGTAGTAATAATAAGCAAGTGATACCAATATTTTCTCACTGCCTGAGCTTAGGAAAAATACTACAGTTCCAAAAGCTCTACTCTGCCTATCCACTTACTGAACACCATGAGTAGGTCAAGTTTGTTTTCACTGCTGTACTGACTCAAAACAGTGCTGCACATGAACATGCAGTCTGGTCATATTACTCATTTTGATTGTCACTGTTTAGATGCAAGGCGTGTCAACTAAGGAATGCAAATGTTTACCATCACCCATTATTACAAGTTTTAGTCATGACTTGGAGGCAACTTTAAACTCATTACTGTGTTCCAGGCTAATGTCAGATTTAATACAACCTAGCATTTTTTGCATGCTACCTGAGAGAAATATATTCATTTTGAACTGGACTTTGTATATTTCTTATATTTTTCATTGTTTTTTTTTCTGCTAAGGAAACAATAATAATTGACTTGCATTCTGTTCACTTGGTCTTATTCAGTATAAAAAATCTGGGTAAAACTTGGAACCAGTCTAGTTTCTCTCCTTAGGCAACTGCTTTCACACGGTCTGACGGCTGGGAAACCAGACTGGAGTTCACCCTGTATTCTGATGTGATAAGAATGTGACACTTGACTTGTGCTACATACTGTACACACACGTGTTTGGCAGGTATCTGTACATTTACAAATATCCAGTCGCATACTTTGTGCTACTGCTATATTAATTTTTACAATTTCTTATTCTGACTACTATTTGAAATATGGCACAATTCTAAAGCAGACCCTTGGGTTATTTCAGCCTGGATGATTGATGATTTTTCTCCAGGTGAATCCTCTGATACTGTTCAGCCGTACAAAGCAGGCTATTGTTAACGGCACACTGATGCCCATGCAACCTACACCATCAAAACCCCCATGCTTCCTCCTTTTTGTAGCCTGTGAACAGTTCCAATACTTTTTTCCTGCAGCTGGACAACAGCATGCAAATTGTAAGCCTTGAGCCAACATACGGGAATCAAGGTTTACAGGGAGACACGTCCAAGGGTATAAACAGGGGTTAAAGCGGATATAAAGTAAAGCAGTTCAAGCAGGTGGCTGCGTCAGTCAGCATGCACAGGCTGCAAGGAAGCAGGTAGAGGTTTATTCCAGGCTGAAAGGAAAAGAAAAGGCTGAAACACTGTCTCTCTTCTCCCCTTTCAGCATGGAATAACTGTTCCTATTAAACAGATGTCTCGATTTTCTAAGTATTTTAAGACAAGAATAAGTCATCTTTTTCCGTGATAAATATTATAATCCTTCTCATTTCACAGTACTCAAAAGGAAATCGTTACTTTAAAGCAAGGGATCTCTACCAACCTGACTTTTTCAGCTGGTTTTCCGGTATCTCCATCGACAGCTGGATATTTCGCGATCACAGTATTGATCATCACTTTTTTGCTCTCCTCGGAAATGGAGATAGCCTTCACCTTTGGATTAAACCTGGGCCCCTCGGGCTGGTTTTTCACTTGAATTTTAATGGGATAGGTTTTCATCGATGAACTAAATGCTGATGCAGCAGAGCCATAAAAAGCTGCCTTGTTCCTCACAGCCACTCCAAGCTCGAGATTTTGCATTTCTTCATAATCTAGTGCCTACAGATTCAAAGCAGGGAAGAAACAAACAAGAATAAATCATATATACATGTGAAATACAGAACCAGTTACATAAGTGACAATTTTGTGAAATACATAAAAGAGATTTCTGCATAAAGCAGAACCTGTCAGTTATGGAAAGCAAAAATCTTAATCTTATAAAACCTAATATCTTAATATCTAATATCTTAATCAGATATTAAATATCTATTATAAATAACTACAAATAGCCAAATATTCCAATGATAATGTTTTGAACACTCTCCGTTTTAAAAGTGAGAAAGGCAGAACACAGTCTGTATTCACATGGAGTCAGACATGATTATTGCCCTTGTACCTCATGGGAGGTTTCTGTTATCTCTGAGCTGGCTTATGGATTCCTGCATTGCCATTTGACTAGAGTACTACCCCAGTCAAACTCCCCTCCCCCGCGCAGACCACAGCCAGCAACTGGAGCTACAAGCAAGAGCCCAGGTCGGGAAATCAGAACAGGAAAAAACAATAACAAAAGCCCCTTGTTGTATCTAGTACCTTTAAATTTAAAAGCATCTTCTTAAAGAACGTTAAAGGGAAAGTAAAAAACAACAACACTTCAAACAAAAGACAGGAGATAAAATGAATACAAAGAAATGAAGCGGATTAGAAACAGAAGATGGAAGGAGCAGACGCAGACACCGGTCAAGAACCTTCCTGAAGAAGAACTGCAAACGAGAACAAGAAGAACACGAAGTTAATTTGTCCTTCGCTTACAATCAGAAAATAAAAATGGTGTATCTGAAATGATCATCTATACCTTATGCAGCATTAAGATTCCTTCATTAGTTTTAGAGTTGGTCACGATACTGAAGTAACCTCCTTCATTTCCTGACACAATGTCAAACACTGCCTCCCAGTTTTCTGTGAATTCTAGATCTTTATCCAAGGCCTTTATCCTCATGATTTCAACATTTTCTGTATTTTCTTCCACACTGCCAACATACTGAAAGAAAAAAACAGGAGTGCGACATTAGCCTTTAAATAAGTAGTTACTGGTAGTGACAGCAAACCACCAGAACAGAATGCAAGGTAAAGGAATAACTTTACTGTGTATTTCTGACTATGGAAAATTCTCTTTTCCTTTCTGAATCTACACAGAATGTTCCCACTACAGCTACTAAAAAGTCACAGGATGAAGATAAACTCCTGAAATTATCTCCAAATATGACAATTAAAAACAATTACTAAAGGTAACGTTTAGTCCTACCTCAGTTATATGAAATTATTAATTAAATAGCTCACACTCATGAAATCAAGAAAGAAACTTAATTTAAAAAAGCATTAATTACATATACTCATAATTATTGAAACAGTAAAATTAAGAGGAAGAATGCAAATTATGCATGCATTTACAGAATTGTAAAATTAGGTAGTTTTTAATTTTCAGAATATCACATTTTGAAACTTGCATGCTAAAATTTCCTATTGTATACTGTATCATTGTTATACCTGATGTTTGGAAAAATAACAGATACAGAACTACACAAAATCTACCACTGCAGAATTACACACAGGGAGTGAACCAGTAGATGGCAATACTGTCTCATGTTAGAAGTTCCCATACACTTGTCTAGTAGGATGCCACAGTGATGAAATACTGTGCTCTAGAGGGCGCTGTTTATCCATCAATGAAGAACATGGGATCTCTTCAAAAGTGTAAAACCGTAATATTAAGCATTTCATTCAACCGTGGTCAAAAACGTTTTGAAAAACAAATCAAACAATTGCAAAATGAACACGTAAAGGTTCATTCCATGCTGAAAAGAGAAGAAAAGAGACACAACAAATCGGCTGTGGAGCCTTCTTCGGACATTTTTGGGTGAAGAAGGCTCCACAGCCGAAATGTTGTCTTTTCTTTCTTCTATTTTCAGCATGGAGTAAATTTTTACTTGTTCCTTTGCAGCTTATGCATGCTGATGCAGCTCCCTGCTTGAACTATAATTGCAAAATGTTAACATTCAGACACAGTTACCGCATACAAGCTACATAGTTTACTCAATAACAAACTACGTCTTAAAATGTATTTTACCTCTTCTTTCTCCAGCGTAGGAACATTATCGTTGACATCTAGGATTTTAATTTCAACACTTCCCGTTCCAGCGTTGCCATTGATGGCTCCATTCATGTCGGTACCTTGTACAATTAAAGTATAGCTATCTTGGACCTATAAAGCATAAAACAAAAATCATACCAATATATATTTGTCTCATACGTGTCCCCATCACTCACTTCATCCACTTCCTAATATTCACTGTGGAGAAAATCTGGAGGTGGGGAGGGTGTGGGTGGGGGCGTTCTTATCATCCAATTTACAACCTGCCAAACCTGACACCACTTACTCTCCAATCTAATTTTATATTTATATTTTGTATTACAACCACTTCTACTGTCAAAGCCATGTGAAATTATTAATAATCAATTTGAATCTCACTCACTCAAAAAGTTGAGCATTTTTGCCTGGGGTGTTCAGTTCATTCTGTTAGGATACTGCACTGTACACACTGTACAGGGTTCTGTCAAGCACAACACATGTTCTACAGAGAAAGCCATCAATGTGTATTAAACATGCTTTAAATCATCAGAGCATCAGGTACCGAAAAGACACCAAACTAAAATGTGCATTAATTACCAGTAAGTCCTAACACAAAAGTGCTTTTATATTGCTTGTATATATCTCTACTAATATGAACAGAAAAGTCCAAATGCTGTACATACAGTAGTTTGATAGGCAACAAAGCATTTTGTGTTTAACCTTGTGCACATTCCTTTTTGTTAGTGTTCGTGTTGAGGGCTGTGTTACTGGGACTAGTATGTGGATAATTAAATTATAACATTAAGGATTTAAACAAATAATTTAAAACATGAATCCACAAACAACTTAAGGAATAAGAAGACAACACTTACTTCTCTATCAAGGGTAGGTTTTTTAACATAAATCATGCCTGTTGTTTCATTTATTTCAAACATCTGTTGATCTGGTGGGGACTGGCTCAAGATGCTGTATTTAATCACCACATTGATAGTAGCAGGGTCATCGTTATCTGTAGCAATTACTTGCATGACACTGGCACCTAAAACAAACATATTATGAGCAAATAGTGTTTCACCAAAACTAAATGAAAATCAGGCACATATTTTATCTATGTAGGTAGCGCAAGCATGTTTTCCAAAAGCATACAGTAGGCAATTTTGATTTTTCAACTTTTTCAAGCCTTCAGCAATTCAAAACGGTTATCCTTTCGTGTGTCAATAACGCATTCCAAAGGCAGGTGCCTGCCTGTACCAAACTGAGGGCGCAGTTTTCGATACTCAAAACATGTATTATGTAGACGTGAGGGATGAATGAGTGTGTCACATGGCAAACGCATTGGCATCTGGCTGCTGTGCCACAATCGCAAAATGACCGAACGACAGCCTCAGATCAGCAGACTACCAACCCAACGAAACAGATAATTAATGGGCGCCACTTGTTTGTAATCTTTCTCGTGCTCTTATTCATTTCTCTAAGATAGGGCGTCGGGTGGGCTAATGAAATAGTCCAGACTAGCACTACAGATGTACAGAATTACTGTTTTAAAACTTACACTCTGAATGAGACCCTATACTGGTTTAATCTACTATTAAAATAACTTTTCGATTTATTTTTATTCACTAATACATATCAATGAGATCTGTGACACCATTTCTGAATTAACGTCTCCAGTGCTGCTCACATATAAGGTGACAGCAGGGATAGTCCACTGACAGACTGTGGACAGTGAATTCCTGTACATGTCTGAAGTGTGCAAGGAACTGTGCTGGAGTAAAGATTAGATCCTGGATTGAGAAACAAGAGGGTAAAAGTAAAAGAAAGAAGACTAAAGATTTGCCTTTTGGACTGAGTTCATAAATTTCTCCGATCTGATTCATTTTAAACACAGGGGGACAATCATTTTTGTCTTCAACGGAAATACGAAGTTCAATGTCCTTTTCCACTTCATTTCCAGACATGTCTTTTGCAATTCCGGTGAGCTGAAAAGGACAACACCAACATGAACATATTGAAAATGCTACATTCATCACGTTATAAAGCAGTAAAACACTAGAAACGTCTGTTCATTACAAAGCGGTGAAAATGTTCTGTTCATTACATAACAAAGCTGTGCGATAGCTACATTACACTTATAAACATCTGCTATGTTACTGAGCTGGCAATAGCTTACATGATGATGAATGTCCATGTAAAGTAAGGAATATACTGTTTTTACCTGCAAAAGCACACTTACATTGTAAACTGCAATTTGCTCTCTGTCCAGGATGGCTGTGACTCTAATATTGCCATTGTTCCTATCAACAATAAAGACGTTGAAAGGTTCTTGATCAGCTCCTTTCCCTTTAATTTCATACGTCACTCGGCGTGTAGGAGTCTCGTGGTCAGAACGAATCTAAAAAAAAGAATATTTATAGATTCAGTTAAGGGTTACAACATGTTACAAAGATCACCAGTAATTCACTCAGAGCTTGTACTGTTGTCGTCTACTATAATATCTTCTATGAACACTGGTAAGATCTATCCATCCATTTTCAAAACCCTTTATCCCCCTCAGGGTCTCGGGAGAGCTGAAGCCTAACCTGGCACACAACAAGCACAAGGAAGGATATTCTGTGGGTCTGCCACAGCTTGGATGGCAAGATCCCAATTCAAATCATGAATTAAAGATGGATAAATGTCATTTATTAAAACGAACTTCCACACTTTGCATCTGCATTTCGTTGCCCACAATAAAATGGCAGAGTGATGAGACATGGTAATGTGAGAAACAAAATGCTGTTGGGCCATGATCAACCCTGGGTGTGACGGACACATCAGCACCCTGGGAATTCCACAGAAACAGTTTTCTACTCTGCTTATATAACTAATCGTTTGCCGTTTTAGCTTAAAAAAATTTTCCCTCAACTATTTAACTGATTCCCCATGGAAAAGGATCAACACAAATGTCAGAGCTTAAATGCAGCTTGATCACTTGTCCCAAAAGGCCAGTATTTTTATTTTCAACTTAGTGAAACTTTTTATCTGACACTGGTGGTTACAGTGAATTTACAACCAATGGGTAATATCACATTTGATGCATCAGCCCCAACCTTGTTAAAAATCTTTCTAAGGAATGACATGCATGAAAACAGTGTTTCCCAAATGGCAAAAAATTCAGACATCTCCTGATGTGACTCCAGCTCCTGAGAGTCAGTGTCCAACACCAGCCCACAAAAGCAGAGTCCAGGAATCCTGACACACCTGTGAGCGAATGCAAACTTCCTAACCAAATGTCAGGTGTGCCAGAGAGTGCCTACTCCCATGCATTTTTTACGATTAAGTTCTGTTTACTTTATTTGCGTATGATTTGCTTTAAAAGTGATGGGGCTCAGCTCAGACTGAACTGGATTTTTAAAGAAACAGTGCATTCTGCATATGCTGCTGTACCTGCTGATCTACCATTTTGAACACAGTCATGTTTCCTTTCAATTTAAGCACAATGTTTAGATTTTTGCAATAATACCCGAGGATGCCACAGAACTGTGCCTAGGCTAAATCATTGTATCTAGCTAACATACACCTATTACAGTGTTTGAATATATTATAAAAAAAAACAGAAAAAAAAAATTGTTGAGCTTTTAGATGTTAAGCAGATTTGTTTTTTGTACAAATTTAATACAATTTTAAAAAATCCAACAGGAATAGCTACATTAAGCAATATCCCCTTTTATGGTCACACTACCAACTAACAGCTTTTCTGGGGTCAATGCTACACATTTACCCTGAACGGTTGCTGGTTCATCATCTTATTTCAAATGACTGCTTGCATGATACTACACAGTCAAGAGGGGGCCAGTTTGTTTCTGGGGAACCACAGTCCATCAGGCGCAATAGGTCACCCTGAAAAATGTCTCACTTAAGCAAGAGGTCCGTTTAAAGCAGCCAAAGATTCCTTTGGAATAAAGTCATCAACACTCTGCAGTCTATCAGCAACAGAGGTGTCCACTACAGATATAAAAATAGTTTGTTAAATGGATCAAAAACATCTTCGGAAATCTCTTTATAAACCAGAAGGTCTCCAATATAGAATACAGAATTAACACTCCAGTCTACGTTTTATAGTGGTTTAGTTTATCACTCAATTACCATTTGATTTAAACCAACTTGTTTTAGTACTTAGGCAACTTAATTATTACTTGCGTGACGGCTTTTACAAACCCAACGAGTGTGTTTTGTGATGAGACTCATCCAAATTCAAGTTCAGGCAATATCACAAATTGCTCAAAAGTAACCCAACTAAGACTAGTAAAGTAGGCTGTGGTTTTAAGATCCAATCAGCTGAGACCACGGGTTCTCAAAATGTGGAATAAGCACTGAAGCCTTTGGAGTTGCTTGCGCGTTTGTCAAGCACGCCAGAGTCTGTATTTGATGACTCATGTCTGCGTAATCCAGCTTTCCACTCCTCTAGTCCATAAACTACTTTCAATTATATGCTATTCAAATGCCATCTGCTTTCTTCCACCACCTTGCAAGATCTCTCCATTCAGTTAGAGCTACCATCTGGCTCTTAGCACCATGAAATGAGCCCTGCGTAGTTTTTATTGAAAGCTCTCGGGTGTCGTGAAATGAATAGCTTCTTCAGATATGTTGCTCTCTGTACTGCCAGAGTTACTTTTCAAGAAATGAGGCTCCAATACGTCATTCATGTTAGATGACCTCTGTAATTGATCTTAAATTAGAATATTAAAAAAGCAGAGAGAAGGGCACCACTGTCTCGCTATGGCTATCCATAAAACACATTTTAAAAAACAAAGACTGCCGTGGTTGCAAACTTACATTTTTCATTTGAAATTTTTTCCAAATTAATAATTAACTCTTTAATTATTGCTGAACGTTACTGGAGCAATAGGAGTCACTGGAGAAACTAGTCTCCAGATCTGTATTTTGGAATTGAAGTGTACACATTCTTGCTGAAGATCTATTTTATATTTTTGACCACAGCACATTATCCAAGTTTGGCCTTGTTATTATGTCATTAACACATGCTAGTTAACCCGAGGGCTTTGTGTCGGTTTGAGAAAATATTTTTTCTCCCTGCTAAGAGAAATCCACAAACTTTGAGAATCTGCAACTGCACAAATCAAAACCGAGGATTACAGGGCAAAATTCGTTTTTTAGCACTTTTACCTGAACCAAAGGGCCACTGAAAATACAAAATGTAATAAAAACTAAATTTCCTCTATCATAATAAAGGATTTCATCATGAAAGTAACACTGTATTCCTTTATTTTATAAGAAACAGAAATGTAATGAATGTTACTTTTATGTTTGCTGCCCTTAAAATAACTGAAAAAATATATAATTATATGAATAAGTAATTTTAGAAATCAGTCTTTTAAAGAAATGACTTTGTGCTGTGGGAAAACTAAGAGTAAACTATAAAAGCAGTTCTGTTATTCTTTTTACAGTGCATTTGTATAAAAGTATACCCACTCCCTGGAGTATGCAAGACTTATACAGACCTACCACTCATGGTACTGAACAGATGCAGCTGTTCGCATTGCTGCCTTAGAGCGCGGGTACCCTAGGTTCAATCCTAGACCTGGGGGGACTATATGTGTGGAGTCTGTATGTTCTCCTTGTGTTCAAATGGGTATCCTCTGAGAGATCCGGTTTAATCCAACAGTCCAAAGACATGCTTGGTAGGTTAATTTGCCTATAGGAAAACTGGCCCTGGTGGGAGTGTATGTGCATGTCTTTCTTTGTGTCTGTGTGTGTCCTGTGATGGACTGGCGTTCTGTCCAGGGTGTACCCTGCCTTGTGCTCGCTGCTTGCTGAGATAGGCCCCGTTCCGGCTGTGGAGCCTTCTTCAGATGTCCACAAATACATTTTGTTTCTTTTTCAGGCAGGGAATAAACCTTTACTTGTTCCTTTGTGGCCTACGCATGCTGACGCAGCTCCCTTCTTGAACTAAATGTTTCAATCATAATTTGAAAAAATGCAGAAGGCACAGGCTACGGGTAGATAAAGTATGGTCGCGACTGATAACCGCTAGACAAAATATTGAAGGGGGCAGGGGCCATTATCGAGTAGTCTATATTGACAGTGCTCCCATTCTTACTTGTTACTCTTAAATCAGGTCAAATGAAAGAAAAACGTTGTAAGGTTATCAATGAAAATAAACAGAGACTCACTTTGGCAATATATTCTCTCTTTGTGTAGTCCTCGTTCTCTGGGATTTTGACAGGAGGAATGATCCACTCTCTTTTTCGCCTCTGCAGTTGCACTTCCTCTTTTGATTCCACTGGATTTTTGAAAACCTTGAAATATAAAAGAAGTCCATTACAGAAATATTCATACAAACCACTACCAGGTCTTCGCATTGCAGTCAGTAATAGATCACATCACGGCGGATAAACACTGGACGGTGACTAGATTTTAGTTATCCCACACCCAATTTCCAACAGAAATTCTGCCGAGGAATTCAAAAAGATCTGAACTCGAATTGGAGGAAAGTCCGAAACAGAACTGAAAAGAAAACGAAAGCATCAAAGGACCATGTAATTAATTGCTTGCACCTAAATGTTAGGAAAATGAGAAACAATTTAAGTACAAGACACTGCACTGTCATGAGCTACTGATGTAACTGCAATCACATAAACACAGCCAACACAGTATTTACAATTTCCTCTAACCAAAAACTAATGGAAGTGCGTGTTTGTATTTACATATGTTATTAGAAAATAGAACATGTAAATACAATTGCATTTTCTCTAAATACAGGACATTATAACTGGCTTGTTTTTTTTCTTTTGGGATTTATTAAAGTCTTAGTTTAGTTATCCACTTATATACATGTATATGATATACAATTGTAACACAATTTATAAAAATATAGGTTTATTCCACGCTGAAAGAGAAGAAAGGAAACACAACGTTTCGGATGTGGAGCCTTCTTCAGGTGTGAGGGGGGAGGAGGGGGTGTGAGGAGCCTTCTTCACACCCGAAGAAGACTCCACAGTCGAAACGTTGTCTCCTTTCTTCTCTTTTCAGCGTGGAATGAACCTTTACTTGTTCCTTTGCAGCCTACGCATGCCGACGCAGCTCCCTGCTTGAACTAACGCAGAGCGATGGAGATGAAGAGAGTATTAGTGGACACACAGCATTCCGAGAGTCAGGAGAGATGGAAGAGGAGGAGATAGAGTATTCTACATCAGAAACATTCAGGCCCAGGAGCTTGACCTAGATGATGATGCCCACTCTCACATTAGTGGAACAAAGGCAGTATGTCTCCACTGACATGTTCTGGAACCCCTGGCCAAGTGATCTATCCTGACATCACCCCCAGCATCTCATCAGCAGGTAGCCTCCATCATTTTGATACACAAACCAAACAAGTTCTCAAATTAATTAGAAATGGAGTTGTCACTGATCTGTGTAACTCACTGCTCTTTCACAAGATAATTTGGTTATTAGTGTGAAGTCAGTTGCCAAGAAACACTGTCAGTGCAGATCTGCAAAGACTACACCTTTTTAATGAAACCTAGGATAACATTTGAATATTTTACTGAGTTCTGAAATTGAAAATATATACATTATGTGTTTCCCTTTTAGTATAAACTGTGAAAAGGCAACAGTATAACCAAAGTCTTTGTCTTTTTGTGTCAATTTCTGTTGTGTGCCAATATTTGTCATGTAACAAAAGTCTATTAATTTTTCAAACTAAAACCAACTTGCATTGTACTGTTTAGAAATCATATGAAATACACAAAAGAAAGAACGATTACACAATTGGGAAATTCCAGCTTACATATATCAACAAACATTTTAAATTTAAAGAAACCAAGGGACTGCATTACCCATACTTATAAAACATATATTTTTCTATTATGTTAAGAAAAAAACATTTTGAATACTTAACTGAATGTTGCACTCCTAATTATTTACTAAGACATTTTGTAAATAGAAATCAAAGGTACATAGTATTACGAGAAGGATGTTGATTTCTGGAAACGTTGCCATAAAACGTCGTCATTTTTCTGGGCCATTTCATATGATTAATAATTCTTCACAGAAAATGAAAGCATGTGTTGCGAAGTATTTAGCTGTGGGCTTTGTGATGGACTCCAGGAAATTTCCATGAAATACTACAGTACAGCTATGTGGCAATACGTTTCTGGGTGGATGGTAGTTATAAATGATGTATAACAATTGTCTGCACCTCCGTACAGTGGATATGGAAATGATATGACATAATCAGAAGTCACTGCTGAGAAATGATCTATGTGCTGAGCAGACACACTGATTCGGGAAGACTTAATATATACCACGCTTATATTATGAGTAAGTACAAAAGAACAGCCACCCAAGAAAATCAGTAAACTGACAGAAATGCCAGCATAAAGCTGTAAAAGCAACACAGGCGCTGCACAAAACAAAACGAAACAGTAAGAGCTAGTAGGATCCAACATTCTCAGGACATCCGAAAGGTCAACAAACCCTTCAAACCTGAAGGTCAAGGGTGGAGAGTGAGCAGGCTCTGGAGACAGGACACAGGGACGCAGAGGATGAGCAGAGAGAGGGGGGGATGGTGCAGGAGGAAGATAAGAGACTGCCTGTGTAGGAGCAGGGTGGATGAGACAGCGCTCAGGGAGTAACCAGCACTCTGAATCAGATCAGATAAGGGATAAAGAGTCATTGGAGGGACTGGAGTGGTGGAGTTATTCCTGGGGGACAAAGGGCAAGCAGCTGAACTCTGGATAAACTGGAGTGGACAGTGAGGCAGGGAAACCAGCCCGGAAGTTACAACAGTCTGGGGAGGATAGCACCAGGGGCTGGAAGCAGGTTAGGACGTAGACCATTCAGCAAATTGTTATAATTCTTTTGGAACAAAACAATTTTTAGCTCTCTCATTAAAATGATGAATTTCGCCGTAACTGGTTTAGAAGAAACTGTCAGAAAATGGATGGATGACTGGATGTGGCAAAGTGGCCGAGTGGTTAGCATTGCTACCTCACAGCCCTGGGGTCCCGGGTGCAATTATGGACCGGGGGTGTTATCTGTGTGGAGTTTGCATGTTCCCCCCCACCACCACCTTCAGGTGCTCCCGTTTCCTCCCACAGTCCAAAGACATACTGGTAGGTTAACTGGCTTCTGGGTAATCTGGCCCTGGTGTGGGTGTGTGCAGGTTTGGGTGGGGTCTGGCGCTCCATGACGCACCACCACAACCTCTCTCTTCTCTGGAACTCTCGGTAAAAGCTAGACTTGTGCGGGTTTGGGTTTGGGTGGGGTCTGGCGCTCCATGACGCACCGCCACCTCTCTCTTCTCTCTCAGGGTCGCTGGGGGGCTGGAGCCTATGCCAGCAAGCAATGGGAACAAGGCAGGGTACACCCTGGACAGGATGCCAGTCCATCGCAGGGACGACAGACACACTCACACACAGTTTCACCTGGAGGAAACCCACACAATCCTGGGGAGAACACACAAACTCCACACAGACAGCACCCCGGGTCCAGACTTGAACCCAAGGCCACAGCGCTGCTCACAATGGCACCACTGTACCACTCCACGCATCAAGTTTAAGTCCAGGAAGACATTTTTCGTCTACAACTAAAACACCATAAACGACTGCAGTCTTTTTCATTACTCAGCCCCATTCATCACTGGTGTGCTGGTGATCATGTAGTTGTACTGTGCAAGACAGGTGTGTGGTTCAGGGCACTTGATAAGAACTGACTGTATGAAATATTCCTGGTTGTGGTCAAGAAATAATAGTTAATATGCTTTTAAGATATAAGATAGATATCTAAGATATGCTTACAATCACTGTTAGGTTTCGAAGCCTGGAAGCCTAACAGTGGTGAATAATACAAAGGTTTAGGGAGGCCTTGAATTTATTCTGCTGGGTAACATAAGAAATCAGTAGACTTAAAATGTAATATTTAGAGTATATTTTCTTCCCTGAAAGGCATTTAAGACATGTACAAGTACTGGAAACAACAACATATTTTTGGCTTTAATTACCTTTTAGTATATAATACTGTAAACTGTCTATAACCAACTATCATTGAGCCCCAATGTTGTACACTAAACTGGAACAGCTAGACCGTTTGCTCCACAAAAGTAACAAATGTATACAGACATAATTCTTATACAAGTTGTGACTGCTATCACCACCTACAGTCTTCAATCCAACCCGTGAGAGGGACACACCTTAATCAGTGTACTCAGCCTGCGCCCTCAGCAATCACACACATGTGCACACACACTCCCTTATCAAGTTGCTTATCAAGTGATTAACACTCATGGCATCATAGCTTTGGAAACCAGGGCAGGCAAGCACAAAGGAGGAATTCATGTCAGGCCTTACCGCTTTTAAACCCTTGTCAAAAAAAGGGTTAGAAAAAACATTTTGCAGCTGCTGTCTTTTAATCTACGGCACAGCCAACAAGTGCACTGCATTACTGCTCGATGATTAACAACTTCCCAATCAAATTTTCCCAGGGCTTAGAATGGCCAGGTAACACCGAAATCCATCATATTTAGCATGTCGATATTGTTTACAAACATTTTCGGATGCTATGAGAAGATAAATGGTAATTTAGGAAAACCAATTATTATTTTATTTTCCCTGAAACTAGAGTCAGAGCTACTTACAAAGTCAAGACAGACCTGGATCTACAGAAGGAAGAACCATTTATACAGTGTATATATATATATTTAAAGCAATAACAACTAGTTCCAATTTCCTTATTGTATGAAAATAATACTGTTAAATACAATAGCTCATCTAAGATGGTTTTATATTTGAGATCCTGCAGTTTTCTTGACTGATCTTGCTGAGGCAGAGGCACAAGCACAAAAATACAGTCATTTTTTGACATTTCAAAAAACAGCAAATATTTTTTCACTGCAGTATATATGCCATGTAAATGTTATATAATTTCTTCACATTTCCCTTGTTTTGAAGATTTTAGCATGCTGATCTGAGTTTGGGTAGGTTTCTTTTGAAAGGCTGCACTGAAACTCAGACACCTCAGAGATGCATGCCATCATCTTATCTTGCAACTACATGTCCTGACAGAAACAACATCTTGTTTTTTTTGTCCACTGCCACTTCTTTCAGTTTGCTGTTTTTTAAGCAAAGGATTAACAAAATGCTGTTCTTCTGGATGACTCGTTCAACTACAAACCAGAGACAAACACACCATCACAGTAGGAAAGCTGTGAACAAAGCACTTGATATATTTGACTAAATAAACTGGATGGATGTGCAAAACATAAAAACCATCATATTCCAAAGGTTCAGTAAAAGACCAATGTAAAAGAAAATGATCATAATTTTCAAGTTTCGAATGACACTTAGCAGTCAATTGATCACTTAAATAGTTATTTTTTCTATTTTCAGACAAAACTGGACAATTATCCGTGTAAATGCCACGTTACAAAATTAATGTTACTTCGTGTGAAGTAATTTGTTGCAAAATTAAGCGGCCCCTAGTATCTGTATCAACAGAATGTTTTGAAATAAAAATATATTTTTAACGGTTTTATATAATTAATTAAATTTCAAAATTCCTCCTCGTCTTCGGCCCCATTAACAAAAGCTAAATTAAATCACCTGCTTCTCCCATTTTACACTCCTTGTAGTTCTTATTGTATGTCTCTGCAATTCCTCAAAAGAGTAAGGTTTTATAATTATTACTATAAATCCTGCACTACTATTAACATCATGGTTTTCACTTTTAACTTAACAATTCCAAGTACGTTGCTTTCTCCAAAAACTAGTCCTTGAACAGTGGTTTCGGTAATTGTGCGTCACGCCCAGTCGTCAAACCCAGACAGCTTAGTACAGTTCTCTATCCACGTCCAGGTGGGGGCTTTGATAGTAGGACACATTACAATTGATATTTATTCATTACTATTATTATGTACTATTCAAAAAGAGCAGAAAAACGAGAGATGTACAGCTTTACGCTTTCCTGGGGTCAAAACGCGAGGACTCTGTGCAACAGCGAGCGAAACAAAAACACACTTTACCTTACAGTACTTCCGTACTGCGGGAAGACCGCGGGGTTATTACCCGTTCCTACGGCTGTAATAATTATAAATAAACCAACCACTCAATCAACTTATCATTCAAGGCCCTTGAAAGAAAGGTAACTACCAGAATGCTCTGAAGCAAAACAAACTGTAACTTATTAAGAAGGTCACTTTCTAAAACTTAACATTTTCCACTTGAAATAGAATTACGCTTTAATTTTTTTAAAAAAAAAGGGGTCCTTCAAAAGGAAAAGGAAAAAAAAAAAAACATTTTTACACCCACAATAACCTCAAAAGAAACTAACCGTTTCAGCAATTCTGAACACCTAAGCGGTCCTGACAAAAGTCTCACGGTAGCCCTTGGTCATGGCGAACGCTGGCTTACTGTTTGTACTGTACTCCAGGAGTTTTGCAGCCCTTTCATGAATATCACCTTCTCTTTTTTTTTTTAGTTCACACATTTCAAACGGTGCAGTCAGAGCGTTTCCCTGTCCGAAACACTTCAAAGAACACGAAGAGGGAAGCCGGGAAACGAAGCCCACCAACAACAGCCCCGCCGGTGCCTTCTCAACTCACCAGGAACATTACGAGCAGCAGCAAGCCGATGCCTGCCTGCGGAACCCGAGCCATGGCAGGTCAGTCTTCTCTGAAAGGGCCTTTCTCCGATTAAAAGTCCAGCGGGGCCCAAACTGTGACTTGGCCGCTTTGTCGAATTTTTAAAACACCACCTAGGTCGCGCTTTTCTCGAAAGCCTAACCGCGAGTTCCAGAGAAGAGGGAGGTGGTGGTGCGTCACGGAGCGCCAGACCCCACCCAAACCTGCTGGGCCGGACAGGGCAGGACATCCCCCCCTCTCCGACAACGGGCTTTGACTGTAAGAAACCAGCGCTCCCCTCCCTGACGTGTGTCCGCGGATTGCGGTCTGCTACCCGGCTCGGCACCGGCGCGGCTAGAGCCCCGAATAACATTGCACAGTAAATCTGTAAAATACAATTTTTCCCCACTTAATAGAGTCAGCCTTTCGACTGCTTCTAGGTACACGAACTCCTGTGGGAACGTTACCGAGATCTTAGAAACTAATATTCGCTATTTACTCAAAGTTGACTAAAGATCTGTAAAGTACGAAACAGTATATTATCAGGGGCGAAAATATAGTATGCGTTTTGGGGTTTTTTTGTGCGTAGAATTTTAAACAAAATACAACATCTGATAGAGGAATAGACGTGGGGGGCATAGACGCCACAAAACGAATATAATGTTCAAACTGTTTTTATTGAGCAGTAAGTCCAAGACAGACAGGATCTGGTGAAAAGGTACAGCTGTTATGCGTCTTTTTTAAAAATTATTTCTTGCAAAAACAAACATAGCAGTGATCACAATAATGTAGTCATACCAGCAACATACACCAAATGTTTTTTTTTAAACTATACTTCTTCGTATAAAACGGTATAAAATAATAATGCATATAATTATGCAACTTTATTCAGCTCTGAAGTATGAAATATCAAAATGTAGGAAATGTCCCACCATTTACACAGTACACTATGTATTCCAACACGACTATTGATATCACAAAGGAAAAAAAAAAAACAATGTACAATTTCCCCTAAGCAAAAACTAATAAAAGTGTGTGTCTGTATTTACATATGTAATTAGAAAATAGAACATTTAAATACAATTGCATTTTCTCTAAATACAGGACATTATAACTGGCTTGTTTTTTTCTTTTGGGATTTATTAAAGTCTAAGTTTAGTTATCCACTTGTATATATATATATGATATACAATTGTAACACAATTAATTAAAAATATAGGTTTATTCCATGCTAAAAAGAAGAAAGGAAACAACGTTTCAGCTGCGAAGCCTTCCTTGGGTGTCCCCACAGCCAAAATATTGTTTCCTTTCTTCTCTTTTCAGCAGGGAATAAACCTTTACTTGTTCCTTTGCAGCCTTCGAATTCTGATGCAGCTACCTACTTGATCTTAATAAAAATGTCTTCTAACAAAATGCAGAGACAGGTTTCCAGCAGTATATCTACTCAGTGAAATCTGGTCTAATTCATGTTTTTTTTTTAAATGACAAAGTGTTTGACATATCTTATTGTGGATTTTCATCACTGACTGATTATAGTATATGTTTTAAAAAAAAAATGTTAAGCCTCTTAGAAACATTGCACACTATTTACATTAGCATTTTCTAAAATAGCAGTTTTTCCCCATCAATAAGCATTCGCAAAGAACACTCAGAAATAAAGTGACATATTACTTTTCTTATGCAACACAACATCCCCATATGAAAATATTTTGAAGACATATATAGTTACTTCCTATGACTATTATAGTCTGGCATTCTGAGAAAAGTACATTGTATTCTTAACATTGATAAAACTCTCAGAAACGCATCCCTTCACAAACAGACATTCATTGGAGTATATAGTTATCTTCTCTGATTTTTTCATACACTAAAATATCAAACAGCCCTTTTAGCATTAAATGTGGAATGCACATGATTCCAGTAATAATTGATTGTAAACGGAACTTTGTAGTTGTAAAATTAAATGGATCTGAAAGTGTTTTATAAAAGTCAGACCATTAATTTACAATTAATGAAAATAAAGAACTGAAATAGCTTACAGAAAGCGTGTTGGTTACATTCAGAAGGTATTATTCTCTTACCCAGAGTTGATACTCTGCACACATTACCGAGAATCAATTTTCTCTTTCATAATTACTTTTTGAGAGCCAGGCAGATCACTCATGTAAAAGGAACCTCCATTCATCATTCCACCTTGTGCACCTGAGCTAGACGATACTGTTTTTTCTCTATATACTAAATTCTGCGAGCCAGGCAGTCCAACACTGTGCATGGATCCTTGATTAGCCCCAGAAATCCCCTCCTGCACAAACTGCCCTGATCCAGCCTTCTTCTCCACAAACACCACATTCTGTGACCCTGGCAGTCCAACCCTGTGCAAGGTTCCTTGATTAGATCCAGTAATCCCCTCCTGTACAAACTGCCCTGATCCAGCCTTCCT